GAATTCTGGGAGTTGAAGTCCACTCATCTTAAAGTGGCCAAGTTTGGACAACACTCCTCTACACAGTCTTCAAAGACACTCTTAAGTGTCCAGATGTTGGACTCCTCTTCTGCCCACCACTGTGCAAATTCTTCTCTAGGTTTAGATGTGAAGGTAGGAAGTGGCCGTTCAGTATCTGGAGATGCATGGAAATGGGGGGAAAGGAAAGCAAAGCAAAAGCGGGGTGAGTCATATCAACTCTGCAAGGGTCAGGACCTAGCAATGGCACTGATCAAAAAAGCCATTGTGTGAATTTTTAAAGACGTTTGTTCAAACTGCAGTCCTGCCCCATATCCTGCTCCTAAGCTCTCCAGGGTGGGGAAGAGCAGCTACTCTGGGACGTGCATCGATTCATCTGGCTGCCAATGCACCGGAGTCCGTTTCTTCACAAGAATCCCCTCGCCTGCCGGAAGCAAGAATGGTGCATGCCTTCTCCGGTGGGGTGAGGGTTTGTGCTAATGATTGTGCATGGAAGATAAAAGTTTCGAGAAAGGCCACTGAGGTCACACAAAAGCTTTCACGCCCACCCTGCCAAGAGAGGACCTTAGCGTGAATGCCAAGCAGATGCCTGCAGCAGGCCTTCCGCAGCTGGAGCTGGGGGGAGGGCATCCATGCCACTTGCTTGGGTATTTGGCGGTGGGGAAGGGAGGAAAGAGAGGCCAGAACTGACCTCCCAGCCAGAAGCCACCTGGAAATGTAGGAGGTCCCCACCCACCCACCGACCGGGGAAGGGCATTCCGTTAGCCCATGTTTTCGCTGGGTGATGCGTTTCCCAGGGAGAATGCAATGCCCACTCCGCCTCACCCCAGCCAGGAGTTTGGAAGGGGGGGCAAAACATTTAGCAGACTGTGCCTTGGAAAGGCCCCACTGTTTAGCCCCCCGGCGGCCAATAACTCCATCCCGGTGGGCTCTTCTCCCTTCTGGAGTCACCAACAAGGAGAACAGCAGGTCCGGCGGCTCGGAGAGAGCCTGGGCTTGAGCAGAGGAGGAGGAGGAGGAGGAGGAAGAGGCGGAGAATCCAAGCCTTCTTCTGGTCTCCCAACAGAGCAAAGTTGGGAATTCCTGGCCATTGATTCTGCTGCTACTGCTGTTCTTCTCAGGTTTCAGAAGGCTGGGAATAAGCTGTTATTCTGACCCCTCTCCTGGCTGGCTATGGCCGAGGAGAGCCACTGGGTACAAGCGGGAGAGCTTTTCCTGAGCACCCCCACAGCCCCAGGGCACATACGTGACGGTGCTCAGAGGAGACGGAGGCTGGAGGGCTGAGATTCCAGATTCTCTGGCTTCTCCCGGGCTCTTCTGGAGAAGGTGGCTGGATGGCTCGGCGTCCCCGGCCTTCTTGCCTCTGGGTGCTGCCTCTCCCGGGCTGGGTTGGGGCCACTGGCTGGGCTAGGGCTGCCCTTTCAAACCAGGACCTCCACTGGTTTTTTCTGCCAGTAGCTCAGCCCCCCGGAAGGGAAAGGCTGCAGGTGCAAAGAAAGCAGTGGGCGCTCAGGGAACGGGGAGCCCTGCGTGGCTGGAGATGATCCGGAGAACCACAGCTGGGGGGGCTTTCACTTCCGCTTGGGGTCCGCCTGCTGCAGGCGCCGGGTGAGGTCGTCAATCCGGACGTTCTTCAGGTGCAAGAGATGGTCCAGTCTGCGGATCTTCATCTGCAGAATCTGCGGGAAAGGCAGGCCGGAAGGAGGTTGCTTTTCTCAGCAGCAGCCCAAGGAACCGAGACCCTTGTGGCCCCTGAAAGCCACAGGAGCCCTTGGCCTTCACGGGAGGCTGCCTTCTAGTGGTCCTGATAACTCTCGACAGAGAGGGGAAAGAAGGGAGGGCTTTGCTCACACGACCCTCGCGGTATTCGGTGCCAATGGAGGCCTTGCAGCCTTAGGTTAGCCTGTCCCAGATTCACGTGCAATATTACATTTCTGGACCAAGATAACTGAGCCACGCGAGCAGAGAGGAAAGGCTCGAATAAGCTGTGTGAGAGGTGGCATGGTCCCTTCCTTCTGCGCCCTGCGTAATCCACTGTTGCTGGAGGACAACACAGCCATGATTAAAACCGCTTTGGGGAGGTTGCCAAAGGGGGACTCAAGCAGTCTTTCGGTTTGGAATGGCATTTTTGCTCCTTTCCCTTTCACTGCTTGGGCACTGCCCGTTTCCATGGGCCTTGGCTTCCCATTACTTCCCTCTTTCCATTTGCAAAAGACAACCTTAGGTTTGCCCTGCAGGGACCTCGGAGAAGGCACTGCCCTTGGGAAGGGCACGCGCAGGGAAATAGAGAGGCCCAGAACCAGAGGGTGGGGGGAGACAGGGGTGGCTGAGCGAAGCCACCATGGGTTACAGGCAAGATGCCATCCTGGCCTCACCTGGATGGTCTCCTGGGAGGCCAGCAGGGCCTGTTCCCGCTCAGCTAGATGGAGGCGCAGGTTGGCATCAGTTTGCAGAGGCATCGGGTAGTTCTGCTGCCCTTTGATCCCCCTGCAGGTGGAAGACAGTTCTGGAGAGCGTGACGTTCCACAGGGTGTGGGCCTCCCTGCCACACGCACAGGACTCCCCCCAGAGCACCCACCCCCATCCCATGCGACTGAGCTCGGGACTCTTCCACCTCAGGGAGGAGGACGGACGGACGCCCGCCCCTCTTTTCCCTTATGTTGGGTAGACTTCTTAGCGTGGCCTGTCACCACCCCGGCTCTCTTCCTTTCCATGACTGGGCCTGAGCCTCCTTTGGGGCCATCACAGCCACCTCCAGCAGCAGTGAGTTCCATCTGCCTGCCTTGAAGAAGCCCTGGGAACTCAAGCAGAGTTCAGACATCCCCGAATCGTGACCTGCCAATGCTCCCATCTCTCCCCTGGATTCCCTCTCAAGGCCCCTGGCCTCCACCCTACGGCCTGTCTTATTCTGCAGCTTCATCTGCTTCCCCGGGCTGCAGTTCAACAGGACAGAAAAGGCCCGAAGTGGCCCCCCAGCCCCCCACCTGCTGGATTCCTGGCTGGGTGCAAATGGAGCTGCTGCCCCCCACCTGCCCCCCTCACTCAGGGGCATAAGTGGCACCTCCTTGTCTGGCTGAGGGGACCTTCAGCTGCTCACCTTTCCGATCCAGGGGAGTCCTTGGTATAAGCCCCGGTGCTGTTGGGTTTGGACTTCGAAGTGTAGCCTGTGAAACGCCAAAGAGAAATTACCTGAGACCCGCCCAGCATGCCACATCCCACACCCCATAACTAAGTCAGAATTCATGGCAGACTCTTCAGCCAGAATCCTCTGCTCGCTCTCCTCTTTTGAACGTTTTTGAACTTGAAGGCCTTTTTACAGCAGGCACACATTTGCTGCAGCTTTCCGCAAACAGATGCCCTCTTCCTCAGCCCAGCATGGCACCTGGCACTCCCGGGTGCGAGAGGGTAGTGGTGTGCAGGAGCTCGGTTGTGTTCCCACAACACCCTCAGCCACAAACCAACCAACCATGGGGTGGGTGGCAAGGGCAAGTCAAACTAACAAGTGTCCAGACCACACGTTAACCATGGTTAGTGCTAACCTCGGTTGGCTTTGGGGAGGCTTACTGCCTTGTCCAAGCTCAACCCGTTTGTTTAGGTTCCGGTTCTTGGTGCAACCTCAGAAAAGGGGGCTATTCAACCATCAGGTTCAGCCTGCTGCCTGAATGCCCCCCCGGGGGAGAATAAGACATTGTAAATGGCAGGGAGGGCATCCTCACCTCGCCTGCCACGAAACTTCGCCCGCCCTTGCTCTGCCTGCCCCTACCTGTATCCAGGTAATTGCTCTCCTCCAGAATGGAGCGCATCCCCAGGTCCTGTTTCAAGAGAGAGGAAGAGAGGGTTGCACACCAAACGCTCCAGACCCGGCTTCTTGGTTGGGGAGGCCTGGGTTGGGAGGGGGCTGAGAGGGGGGCCCGGAGAGCAGAGCTTGAGGGCACTTATTTCCTCCAGCGGAAGGGGGTTTATGCCCCGTAGTCCCTTGGCACAGCAGAGCAGCTCTGAGGCTCCGGCAGAGGTGAAAGAGAAGCCAGCTTGGGATCTCCAGTGCCCCCTGGAGCCTCTGCTGACCCCCTTGAAGTAACTGGGGTTGAGCTCCCCTTGAGGGAGATCTTCCCTTGCTTTTCACTGCTGAGGCTCAGCTAGGGGACAGCACCTGGTCAAGCTTGGCTGGCCTTTCAGAAGCTAAGCAGGGCTAGACCCGGTTAGTGTTTGGATGGGGGGCCACCAAAAGATGCCAGCCCTGCCAACTAGACGGGGAAATGAAAAAAAAATTATAAAGGTGGTGGCAAACTGCTTCTGTGTTACTGGCAACAGCAAAACAACATGGCTCCATTGTGTCCCTGCCTGTTGGAAGTCAGGGGAGTTCATTTCTGCCTCATTTTTGGCCCCTGCCTTAGGTCTCCAGGCCTCGAGGCAGGGGGCAGTCAGTAAAGACATGGCAATGAAAACCCAACCCTTCCAACACACTCAAATTCGTTCACCCCTCTTCTGCAGGGTTGACTCTGTTTGCCTTCGGTCCAGGAGGGAAGAGTTGACAGCTTTCCGAGCCGGCAGCCTCAAGTTCAGGATCCTGGACCTCAAGGATTCCTGGCAACTGCCTGTCCATCCTGGCTGGAAACAGGTCAGACTGGAAGGGCTCTGAGGACAGAGCGAACGAATGCCCAGGAGAGAGGAAGGAGGCCCCTGGCTGATGGGGTGGGGTGCAGGACACGAAGGGGACATTATGGAAAGCCAGATGCCGCCCACAGCTGCACCACAGATCTGGGCCAAGTGCAGCCGCGATGGGACTCCTCTTCTGTTCCACAGCCAGGGCAGCCCCGCTGGTTGATTCAGAGCATCCGAAGGTGCCCTAACCTCATGGCTGCTGCCCCGGGATGGCCTCAGTGCCGGTTGCTTGTCTTGCAATTGGTGAGTCCTACTCACGAGTCAGGTTTTCTGGATCAAATATTCCAGGCCCTTCAGTGCAAGCACCACACTTTTGACTGCCTGGCTGCCCTTCACCGGCCTTTCTCCGGAAGACAAGAGAACCTCCATGGGCAACAAAGGCTGTGGATCAACTTTCCTTAGACTCCGCTCAGTTTTGTTAACTGCCATCCCTGATCTGCCTTGGATAAGGTGGTGGCATCTTTTTCCTCCTTCTTGAGGACCTCCTGTACACTTCCAGCCTTCTCAGTAAACAGGGGGCTCTGCAAAATCTCCAGCCGCAGCAGTGACTAGATTGGGCCCCCAAGGAGGCTGAACCCTTTGAGGGATCTCTCTGCCAGAGCCTTTGTTCTGAAGCAGAACAGCTGATTCTTCTTCCACTACTGATGGCTGTTCTGGACGCCCTGCTCAACATATGCCTTCTTCGGCTAATGTTTTTTTCTTTCTTTCTTCCAATCAACCTCAGATACAAATCTAAACTTACTCATGGAGTTTCTAAGGGGCCTTCAAGCCCTTCTGCACTGCTAAGAAGTTGACAATCACTAGTCAGCATGGCTCCACAGACCCTGGCCAGGCGACAGATACAGAGGCAGTAGCTTCTGGTGAATTAGGCCTAGGGAGGGGCAGGAAAGGGCAGACCTTCTAGATGTTTCCTGTCCAGGTGGCAATATAACTGTGTGCCACCTGGGTTTCAGGACCTTGGACAGCTCCGCCTGTGAATCTACGTTGCCGTGTCCAGCCAGAGCTACGGTTCCGTCAAGACTCAGAAGGCACAATTTCATTTGTGATGCAACGCAGAACAGCAGGTGCCGCCCTTTCCCCAGAACTGTTACAGGTCCACAAGATGCTGGGCGGCACCAGCAGCTAGTACAGACCCCACCTTTTGTCCCTGGCACTTTGCTTTCTACTAAATGTTCTAGGTGACCGTCCCTCCTTGACAAAAAATGGAACCGGTCAACCCAGACTTGGCCAGGAGAGGGAGGGGGCATATCTTCAACCTTGGCCTAGATTTGTAGCCGTGCTGTTCTGAAATCAAGAATACCCATTGCTTTGGTTGAGGCGGTGACCCTTTGAAGCATCCCTTTCAAGAAGGGGTTTTCCTTCGAACAAGCAGCGTCTGGCAAGCCTCCCCCCCTCCCGTCTTGTGGCTTTGGTTCAGACAGACAGACAGACAGACAGAGGAAAAGCAGCGAGGCAGATCTCCAGCAGGCAAAAGGAGAGTGGCGAGAGAGGCATAAACCTGGGGCAATGGAGTCGGGAAGGAGCAAAGGCTACAGCACCCCAGAGGAGTTGGTGGACGGCCCTGGAAAGAAGCAGAAGGGAAGGGAGGCAGGTGTAAAAAGAAGAAAAAGAGGGAATGTTGCCACAGACCCCCCTCCCATCAGCCCTTCAGGCTGGATTCAGAGAGTTCTTAGATCGGGAGGCCCTTCAGACCGCCACTCGTGCCCGGGTCACCCACAGCCTGACTACTGCAATGTGCTGTACGTGGGTCTATCCTTGAGGGTGACCACCTGGAAGCTTCAGCTGGTCCAGAATGTGGCGGTATGAGCAGGGGTGGGCATGCCTTGGTATGCCCATGTAACCCCTCTACTTCGCGATCTGTTCTGGTTGCCAGTTTGCTTCTAGGTGTGACTCAAGGCTAGTCACTACCTAAAAAGCCCTACATGGCACAGGGCCTGGTTCCTGAAGGGACCACCTGTCTCCTATAACGTCTGCCTGGCCAGTTCGATCTGGCAGGGTTGGCACGCTCCTGTTTCCATCAATTAAGCAATGCCATCTGTCTGGACCCCAGACGTGCGCCTTCTCTCTGCCCTCTGGAATGAGGTTCCCCCCCAAATTTAAACGGCCCCCACCCTAATGGCATTTTGAAGGGCCCTGAATACCTGGCTCTTTGCCCAGGCCTTGGGTGGGGATGACTGAGGCCCCTTTCTTCCTTGTTTTGTTCCCCTCCAGGTTTGTTTTCTTTGCCAACGTTGTTGTTTGGTCTCGTGGGGTGTGTGTGTTGGTGTATTGTCCTTTGTTGTTAAATGTTTTTAACAACTGTAAACCGCCCAAGCCGCTGGGAGTCAGCAGCATATACATTTAATAAATGATGATTATTATGAGTTCCAGATGGTACCTCTTCAATCTACGCAAGCGTGCACACGTTAGAATAGTCCTCTATACAGACAAACACGCCCTGCTTGTGGGAGACGAGCTCTCTGGGAGAAAGGTTTGAGAGGATCATTTTACTTCCTGACATACAAGCCTTCTCCGCGCAGGGAAGGCTGTGGAGAGTACACATGTGGGTGTGCAAGGGGGAGCCAGCACTTTCACCACTTGTAAAATAAATTGTATACCCAGAGGCAGGTTGGCCATCTCAGGAAATGAATCCGAATTGTGGAGTTGGAAGAGACCCCAAAGAGCCCATCAAGGCAGAAATCAGTTTTCAGCCAGGGTAAGAGTGAACCACCATCGCCCTGGATGTGCTGCAGGCGATTCTGCCAGCTGTTCCTTCCCACTAAAGTAAATGTCCCCCAGACTACCGAAGAGCCCACTGGTGCCTCGGTCAGATCCGCCTGTCCCTTCACCACTGCTGATCTCGCTCGTGTGCCAAATATTTTTGTCAGTGCAATTCAGCCAGAAATCTGCTGGGAAACAATAATCTGAACCCAGTTTTAACAAAAGGCCTTGGAAATCAGGGTTTGCAAGAGTGCAGCTTTGATTTTTGTCCCACTTTTCCAGTACCTAAAAACGCTCTTGGAGCTAACACACGAGCCCTCTGCTGTCTTAGGCTGAAAATACCATGGATGGAAACATCTGTGTGCATCTGCACGGATCTCCTGCTTGATGGTGATCTCCTCTGCAGGGCCCGGGTCCAAACCGAGAGAGGAAAGAATTCACACTGAACGTTATTCGTGGGATTCTGCATACTGTTGGAATGGCTTTCACTGCACGGTGCTGTGGGTGATGGGAGGGTTCTCCTGCCCAAACCCTTGGAAATGAACAGGAGTGGCCCAGGAGCAGGAGAACATTTGGGCAGAGTCTCATCCCCGTTTTTCATGAGCCAATGAATAAAAAGTCCTTGGGATCGTTTTCCAGATCTCCTCTGAACTTTTCCTCCTTAAAGAGTTTCTCTTCCAAAGCATCTTGACTGTTTTTTAAAAAAAAATTCAATACTTTTTGCTAAACAGCAAAGCAAACCTCCCTTCTGATCTAGGGGACATATGGCTGGGAATTCCAGGAGCTCTAATCCCCCAGGCTGGGAAGATGCCAGGTGAAAGAAGGTTGAGCTATGCCAGTGTTTCTCAGCCTTGGCAACTTTAAGATGGGAAGACTTCAACTCCCAGCATGGCTGGCTGGGGAGTTGAAGCCCACCCATCTTAAAGTTGCCAAGGCTGAGAAACAGTGAGCTATGCAGTGTTTCCCTGATTGCCTTCAAAAAGGGAGTCAGAAAGTAAACTTCAGATGTTGGCTCAGATTTTTTTTTTAAAGGCAAATAAATAAAGTGTGGGTTTCTAAAACAAGCAAGGGTCTGAGTGCACCAATAGTTTTGATTTCAAACCTTGATTTTTCTGCACTCAGGGTCTGGATGGTTCTTGTTAAGGAGTAACAAGCGAGAAAAATGCAGGTCTCTTTGTAGAGACATTTGCAAGAGGCTCGTGGGTAAGCTGCTGTCCCTCAGCCCTGCTACCCAGGCTGTTTGCAAGTTGGAGAAAGAGGAAACACAAGCCTTGGTTGTTGGGGGGATTAGCACCCTAAGAAAGCTCATGATGTCAGCGTTTGCTCACGGGGCCCTCCTGCCTGTTGCCCAACTGCTACTGACCTGATAGGAGGTGGCGGACATCATCTTGGCTTGCTTCTGCTTCTCCTCAATCTTCTGCCTCAGCGGGATCAGCACTAACTCCACCACTCCAGGGGTGCACTGGGCAATCTTCCGGACAATGTCTTCTGGGATGGAAAAGTTCAGCTTGCTTAACACTTTCCTGGAAAAGAAGTATGGAACACAGCAGGTGAGCCCACCCACAGCCCCCTCTGATCACTGCTGTGTTCAGGATTAGGGACCCTCAGGAAGAAGCAGGTGGAGACCTTCCCCTACAGCCAGCTGGGGTCTTGGCTCACTGGGAATAAAGACATTAAGCAGGGCCAGAATGAACTTTTCAAGATTCAGTAGCCAGATCTGTCCAATTTTAAAACAAAAGAGCACCCACTTTCTAGAGAAGAAGAGTCGAGGCCGGGAGACAGACACCACTGTATCAATATTCACCTCGCCCTTTGGGGATCTAATGCTTCCAGCTTGGCAAGTGAACCACCAGAAAACAGGCTACACATTTTGGCATGACACGTCCTAATTGACAATGGCCAATCTCAACTGATCTGGGGTGGGGGATTTTGAACACTGACTTCACCTGTGGGATACTGACCTGTTCAGGTGTCCCCAGTTGGAGAGCTTTTGTTGTGTAGAATTAGCTGGAGCATAATTGTGCATCTCCACCATTTTGGGAAAATAAAACTTCACCACCTCGGCCACCAGAACTGGATGGGAAATAAAAAGAAGCAGTGGGGGCGGGTGGGGTTGGCACCTAGAATCCTCTTCTCTTCTAACCTGCCCTCCATTCTGTGGATAAAATCTTCAGCAACATTACTTTCCCCTTTTTTTGGACTGGGCAGAACAGAATCACTATAGGAAGGGTTTGAGAATCAATGGAATGCTTAGAAAAAGGTTTGGAACTGTACGGGGCAAGACAAAGATGAATGATGTTACTCTGGTTGTTGAATGCATTTGTGGATAAATGTGTATTCAGATAAGAGCTGCTGTTGGCTGAGAAACCGAATGATTTGCTGTGAACCTTAGACAGATGATGTGTTGCTGTGAGGAGCATGGATCAAGGAAGTTGTGCCTGGCAGGGAAAATGGAGTGAAGAATTGCAAATTATACATCGGTGGCAAAAAACTATAGCAAGTAGATGAATGTGCATACTTTAGTGGAACGTTTATGGAAGAAGGCAAGGTGGATGGGGAAGTTGATGTGCAAAAGCTGGCAGAAAGGTAATAGTTGTACGTGCGAGGAGTGAAAGTGCCTTTCTGCAAGAGTTCTGCCCACTTTATTATATGGGCAGGAGAGCTGAATATGTCAGGAGGAACTTAGAAGGAAGTCAAATGCAGTGGGAGTGGCGTATTTGCGAAGTGTGTGTGGTGATGGTGTCTGGTTGATTTCATCAACCAGAAGAGATGAAGTCAGGAACGGATGGGTGCTGCGCAAGCGTGGGTTGAATGCACAAGCGAGTGATCCACAGGAAAGAAATGCGTTGCAGGAGTTGGTCATCTAAACAGAAGGGAGGAGGACCGAGCCACGTAAAGAAGAGTGAAGGAGCAGAGAGGACGGGAAGACTGAGAAGGTGGTGACTGGGATCCTCAAGAATAGAGCAGTGAGAAAGCGAAAAAGGCAGGGTGTGAAGAGCTGCAATGGACTTGGTGGAACAAGGACAGGAAAGAGCAGAAAAGTACCACACTGGAATTGTGCGATGGGGGTTATTGTCCGTCCAAACAGAATCCACAAAGCAAGCAAACAAACAAACACAGGTTCTGATAGCAGCGAGTTTGGGTACGATGCTATCAGAAGTGAAGTCTGGAAGGTGTTTGTCCTTCCTTGGAAGAATCTACATGTGGTGGGTTCTGCAAGAATTTATTTACTTTCTAAAATACTATATTAAGGCGACCAAGAGGTCTCTTTGATCATTTTTGATCAAGCCCATCAAAAAGCGCATATGGTAACAGCCCATAGAGCAGTGTTTCTCAACCTTGAGGACTTTAAGATGCGTGGATTTCAACTCCCAGAATTCCCCAGCCAGCATCAATGAGCGGACTTCAATTCTGGGAGTGAAGTCCACTCATCTTAAAGTCGCCAAGGCTGAGAAACACTGCCATAGAGGCCTCTTCCTCCTCCTCAACACTTCCTGGAATCACCATGCAAGGAAGGTGGATCACATGATCAGTCCAGGAAGTGCTGAAGCCGGAAGAAAGCAGTTTTCTGTATGACTTCAGTGCAGCTGCAACCGTAAGTTAAAATCTGCCACTGTGACCATGTTAGAAGTCCATATCACTGGTGGTCCATTTTCAGGGCTCATCTGAGAGGTTTTCACAGGGTTCTTGAATAAAAAGAAAAAGAAAGAAAGGTGTTCCTGAAGCGGAGAGGTAAACAGTGTTGGTTTGCTCGTGGGTGCGTTCCATCCCATGCCAGTCCTGGAATGGTTGGTTCAGAAGACCCAAAGCACTCGGGTGATGCTGCAGCAGAGGAAGCCGTGGTCTTAGGAGGCAGCCTCATAGGCACTATACCACCCCTCCCTTTTGTTAGCCTTAATTCCCCCCCTTTATATGTAACCAAACAGTTGTGGGAAGGGGACAGGGAGTCCTGGGGTAAAATGAGCATGAAAAAAATGATGAATCTGGAGGAGATTCTCTTAATCCACTTTCAGATTAGGCCTCTGTTAGTAATATTTGTACATCTTCTAGACTGAAAAAACCCTAAAACAGAACTTGGATCTTATGGCGTGTAGGGTAATAGGGGTGGAATAAACCAAAGAAGTGTCAAAAGCAGGGGTAATGGCCGGTGTGTGTGTGTGTCAAAAAAGTAAAAATGCACTTGGTTGTGGCTGCCATCCTGACTTTTTTTAACCCTTTCCCTGCAGACTACCCTGGTCAAAAGAGCTCCCCCAAATCTGTTGCCATCCAGATGTCAGGCAGTAAGTATCCCCAAATTCCTATGCCCTGGGTACTGTAATTTTTGGAAGGTATCTCTGGGTAGTCACTAGAGGGCAGCAAAGGGACACTGGCAATTCCAAGCCTTTGCTGCCCTCTCGTGGCCCTTAGTGTTAGGACTGGACGGTGGAAAGGACGGACAAAGAAGGAAGACTGTCAAGAAGAGAAGACCGTGGTGCCAAAGGATTTTTTAAATCCCTTATTTTACTAGGTTTAAAACCTGAGGCCATCAGTGGTCATGTAGTCTATGCCATCCTCCCCTTCCTTCACCAAAAATGAGTCTGAATAAAAACGTCACCCGTGGATTACACCCTATGCTGACGATAGGCCAAGGGCAAACTCTTCCTCTGAATGTGCAAATCAGACTCTGCCCCTTTTGATCCAAGGAACTCTTCTGGAAAGGATCATTAGCCCGCTCCCCTCCCCACTGAGTAGAGGTGAAAAGAGATCAACAGCCGAGATCCAGCCACTTTTTTGCACTGGGAGCCAACTGAGGGCAGATGGGATGTGTCCACACTCATAAATGGCTGCCATGGTGGGTGTGTCCAGTCACAAAGCTCCTGTTAAACCAAAGCTTCATTAATGCTCCACTGCTGGTATATGTGGACTTCAACTCCCAGAATTCCCCACTTTACACTTCTTCAAGTTGGTGAGGTTGAGCAATACTGTACTACTGTAGGTAACCCTCAATCAGTGTTTCTCAACCTTGGCAGCTTGAAGATGGGTGGACTTCAACTCCCAGAATTCCCCAGCCAGCTTTGCTTGAAGTCCACCTATCTTCAAGCTGCCAAGGTTGAGAAACAGTGCCCTAGACACCGTGCTTGGCAAAGCCAGCTAGTGCTTGGCTTTGAGATCTGCCAGCTTCCTAATGTTTTTATTTAACGTTTTTTAAAAGGCAGGTGATATTTTATTTACTGCCCAAGGAGTTCAAAGCCCTCTTTTTCCAGCATTGCCGCAGGGAGCGTCAAATGGGAATTCTGCCAGTGAGCTGGGTACCGCTCTACTCCTCCCCAAACCAGTCGGGCGACTGGAGGCTTCTGGGTTGGTGGCAACCAGCTGAGTGGATCTGCTGCTGAGAGGCTGGGTTTGCACAACCTGTGTGCGCAGGTGACGTTCACCCACCCTCTGGTTTTACCAAAGCACTACACCACAGGGCCCGGGCAACCAGCCGTGCTGCCAGGAAGATGAGCCCAAGGTGGAACAGCTAGGGTGAGCCCAAGGTTGGGCAGCTAGGGTGAACGCGGCTGTCCATCCCGGCTGAGTGGGCTAGTTGCTCCAGGCAAACCCGGCTAGCCCATTCCCCAGGCATTCCCACGTTCATCTTCTTCCTGCCCTAATTCTTTCTGTGCGTCCCCAGCAGGGGCTCCGGAGCTGTGCCCCATGGTCCTTCCATCTCTGTGGGCCTTGGCGGCTGCAAGGCACCCTCCCTGCAAGGATGCTGAGTGCCCCAGGGAGCACGCGCTCCATCCCCAACCCACAGGAAGGGGGAGTGGGGCGCAAGCCCTGGCTACTGAAAGCGGAAGAGGGGCTCCAGGGAGCCTCTGATTTCCACAGCAGCGGAGGCCGCCAGCCCCAGCCGGGGCCCTCCGGAGAGATGGGGATGGAGATGGAAGCAGGCTGGCCCCCTCGGGAGGGCCCCGGTTGGGGACTGCAGACTCGCGCCCCTCCTTCTGCCCCCAAACCTCCATCGCTGAAGTCGCGGGCGATGTTCCTCTTGGGGCGGGAGAGGGGGATGCCATCCACCCAGCTGTACAGGTCGTTCAGGCTCTCCTCGTCCAGCTCCCCGTGGGCCATCTTGCCTTGGCTTGGCACTGCTTGGCACTGCCGCCCCCCCCCAGGCCAGCTGCAGAGGGCTCCGCGCTCCTTCCTAGCCAGAGGGGCTGGGGGCAGCCATATTGTTTGCACGGGCAGCCATGGCAACCACCATGCCCCCCCATCTCAGGCGAGGCATTGTGGGAGTGGTAGTTCTTTCCAGCTCCAGGCAACGCAGCCACCACAACAGGGTTGCTAGGCAACGGGGGCATCCTAGCAACTCCTTCTCCTTCGAGGCCCAGGAGAAGGAGCAGCAGGGTGCTTCCTGGGGCACAGGCTTCTGGAGTGGCGGGCAGATGTTTGGACTACAGCTCCCATCGTTCCCAGCCTTTCTGGGAGCAATAGGAGGAGACTGCTTTGAGAAAGAGAGACAAGGCACCTCGCCCAGTTTTCCCCCAATGTCTCTGCCAGGGGAGCACCCCCCAAAATAGGCAGCCACAGACGAGCATGCCTCTCTTCCTAGGCAGGGCTGCACCTGCTGAATTTCTACCTGTTCTTCAGCTTTAGTTCTTTATCCTGTTTGAATCAATATGGGCTCAGGGCAGCTGACAAAAGCATCGACAAAAACATCCATGAGAGTTAAAGCATCCACAGGGAATATAAACCAATTAAAACAACCAACAATTGATCAGAAGTTCCCAGGAGACAAGGGTAAATGCTAGTAACTGGGACAGTGAAAAAATCAGTAAATCCAAACCAACATCAACAATGGCTTCAGAGGGAAATAAATTAAAGTGGGCGATGGCAAACGATTCCACAGAAGGCTCTTCTGAAACTTCTCCGCAGGAAAAGTTCCCTAAAACTACAGGATTTGGGGCCGGAGGGGTGGATGGAGGGGAAGGGCCAGGAATAAAGCTGACTTGGACTGGCAAGGCCCACACCCATCTTTTTCCAGAGCTGCAGGGCCGTCCCCGGGGGCATGGTCCAAAAAGTCAAGATGGTGGCGCGCCTGCTTTTCATGCGCG